GGTCGTTTCCAGGGCCCATTAAGGGCGCGCCTCGTCTTAAGTCGGGCCTGTCCCCCTACAGGGGGATTTTCGACGAAAAATAAAAAGTACCCCAAACATTAATCAAACAATGATTAAAAAATAGTCCGGGGACTATTTTTGGACCTTTTTTTATTTTTTAATATGTGTTTTAGGGTGTTCTTTATTTTTCGTCGAAAATCCCCCTGTAGGGGGACAGGCCCGACTTCAGCCCACGGCCTTTGGGATATTTCTGGGGTCTTTTTAATTTTTGAGATATTTTTTTTGGGGGGGATTATTTTTCGTCGACAATCCCCCCCTGTAGGGGGACACGCCCGACATGAGCCTCGTCGGCGGCGCCCCGCGTGCTGGCCGGCACAGCTCCGGGGCCGTCGCCCGGCCGGCCCGCGGCCCGTGGGCGCCTCGCGAGGGAGCCGATCTGGGAGCCGAGGCTCAAGTCGGGCCTGTACCCCTGCAGGGGCAGCTTCGACGCAAAATAGAAAATACCCCCCCAAAATCCCCCCCCCCAAAAAAATAGTCCGGGGACTATGTTTTAAATTTTCTTTTACCTTTTTGGAATATTTTGGAGGATTTCATATTTTTCGTCGAAAATCCCCCTGTAGGGGTACGCGCCCGACATAAGCCGAGGCTGGCCGTTCCGGGCCCTCTTGCAGGACCACCCCAGCTGCCCAGGCCCCCTCCCCTGAGCATTTGATACTGGAACTTGCCAGTCGTGACCGGCGAGAAAGGTCGCTACCGACTTCGCTTTAAACATTTCGGCATCCGTCGCGACCGATCTGCTTCAAAATCGGTCGCGACCGATCGGTCGCGCTCGGTGGCGTCCAGTCGCGACCGATTCGCAATCGGTCGCTACCGATCGCGACCTAAAAAAAATGGTATCCAATGATCTGGGTCGAGTCATGAAAAAATCACGGCGAGTTTTGGTTTCGCTATTTTCGGCCTCCGGGGGCCCTTGCCAGGCCTCGGGACTGTCAAAACACGACTCGGGATGAAGAACCGGTCCCAGGGAATAGGTCGCAACCTCTGGGAGTCGACGCCATGAAGAAATCATGACGTCGGGGCTCGGGGTAGGGAGCCCAGAGAGGACGTACACGCCCAACCATGTACAAGAACACGGCCACTCGATCCGCGAGACGGGCCGCGTGATACGAGCATTCGCGCAATGCGTGCTCTCGAGACCTTGGTGTGCATTCGTGTGCGTGTACGTCCTTCTTTCGCTCCTGACCAGCCCCACCCGAAGACACGAATTTCGGGTTTGGGGGGGGGGACGGATTCCACATATGAGCGACGATCGAGAACGGGTCTTGCGCGAGATGTCGAGTCGGGAGAAAGGGGGGGATAGCACAGGGGGGGTTTGAGAATCGGCTCACGTGGCCGATTTTCCCGGCGCCTCCCGGCGCCAGAGGCGGCTATGTATCGAAGAATGGGCCCCTCGGTGAGGCCGAAACCGCGTGCAGCAAATTTTGTAATCGGCGGTGGACAAACCTCCCTTTAGTAGACCTCCCCTCAGTGAAAACGACCTGGGACCGAAACCGACGGACCTGGACCCGCAAAAACGACGGCCGCGACGCCCCGTCGCGAACCGAAAACGGCCAATTCCTGAATCGACGTGTGAGGTTAGGAGGTCTGTCCATCCCCGACGTACCCCCCTTTCCCAATGCCCCCCCCCTTTCGTCCGGCCCGAAGATGGCATGGCGACCTTCCGCCGCGGCCTGCGCGACGATCGAGACTCATGTGCTCTCGAGACCGATGTGGATTCATGTGCGTGCACGTCCTGACCAGCCCCACCCGAAGGCCCGAATTTCGGGTTGGGGGGGGACGGATTCCACATGAGAGCGACGATCGAGAACGGGCCTTTAAAGGGGCCCCAGGACACACAAATAAATACACACAAATAAAAAGATCCCCCATATTTTCCCATATTTTCTGATTTCTGTCTTCCCCCCCACTTCCCATATTTTCCCATATTGTCCTGGGAGTCGACGATTAATTGTGTCTGTGTGTTTCTTTCCCTCCTGAGTCTTGCCCGAAGATGGCATGGCGGACCCTCCGCCGCGGCTTCTGCGCGGGCCGCCGGCGCGGCGCGCGCCCCACTGGGACGCGAGGGCGCCGACGCACGACCGGACGAACCTCCGCGGGGGAGGAGGAGGAGGAGGAGGAGGAGGAGGAGGAGGAGGAGGAGGAGGAGGAGGAGGAGGGGGGGGAGGAGGAGGAGGAGGAGGATTAGGTTAGGTTAGGCTCGCCACTAGACCCGCCACCCCGAGCAGGCACAGAAGCCCCCACTCGACATGGCGAGCCCGTGGTTTCAGTTTCAGCATGCTCCACCGCCGCTCGCAGGCCCTCTGGCCTGCGAGGGCCCACTCCCTGGTGCCAGCGCTGGCACACAGGGGTTCACGACGGCGGGCCCGCGAGCGGCGGCGGCGGCGTCAGCAGGCGCACAGGGCCGCGCCCGCGACACGCCGCTGGCGGCGGGCTCCACGACGTCCTCCTCGTAGAGCTCCTGCTCGAAGTGCACTTTGCGGCCTAACCCCTCGCCGCGCAGGGGAAAACTGTGGCCTAACCCCTCGCCACGCAGGGGAAAACTGCGGTCTAACCCCTCACCGCGCTGGGGTTGGTGGCCTAACCCCTCGCCACGCAGGGGGTGTGTGCGGTCTAACCCCTCACCGTGCTGGGGATCGCCTGACCCCGCAGTCTGGCCCTGCGAGGGTCGGCTGCGGTCTAACCCCTCACCGTGCTGGGGTGGGACGTACTGCTTTCCGTACTGCTCCCTCTCATTGACGCGGTCTAACCCCTCACCGCGCTGGGGTGCTCTCCTCCACTCGGAGGGGTCGTCGGGCTGCCCCTGGATCGTGGTGATCGGGTCGTGGTGCCCTGGGGGCCGTACCCCCACTATCTCCTGTCCATCGTGACGCCGCCCTTCGACCCTTTGTTCTCCTTCGCCTCGAGGGAGCCCTTGATAGTCGATACGGCCTAACCCCTCGCCGTGCTGGGGTGCAGCGTCGTCGTCCTCATCGTATAGCTCGAGCTCGATGTAGTCGCCAGCCGCGGCCCTGGCTAACCTGCTCGAGCACGCTAGTGTATGTTCCCATCGGCCTAACCCCTCGCCGCTCTGGGGACCATCGTGGCCTAACCCCTCGCCACGCAGGGGAACATTGTGGTCTAACCCCTCACCACGCGGGGGTGAAACGCGGTCTAACCCCTCACCGCGCTGGGGTTGGTGGCCTAACCCCTCGCCACGCAGGGGGTGCCTACGGTCTAACCCCTCACCGTGCTGGGGATCGCCTGCCCTCGCAGTCTCGCCCTGCGAGGATCGGCTGCGGTCTAACCCCTCACCGCTCTGGGGGTTGATGTACTGCTTTCCGTATGTCTCCCTGTCGTAAACACGGTCTAACCCCTCACCGCGCTGGGGTACTTTGCTCCACTTGTAGCGGTCGTCGGGCTGTCCCTGGCTCATGGGGATCGGGTCGAGGTGCTCCTGGGGCCGTACCCCCGCTATCTCCTGTCCATCATGACGCCGCTCTTCGACCCTTTGTTCTCCTTCGCCTCGAAAGGTACCTTCATCGTCGATACGGCCTAACCCCTCGCCGTGCTGGGGTACCGTGTCGTCGTCCTCCTCGTAGAGCTCGAGCTCGATGTAGTCGCCTGCCGCGGCCCTGGCTAACCTGTTCGAGCACGCCAGTGTATGTTCCCATCGGCCTAACCCCTCGCCGTGCTGGGGAGTATCGTGGCCTAACCCCTCGCCACGCCGGGGTCCCCCGCCCGCTGGGCTTGATGCTGCCTCCGATGCGCTTGTCGCCGTGGAAGGTCCGCACGTCCTTCTTGTAGGTGACGTGGCACCCATACTCCCAGCAGTCGCCCGCTCAAGCCTGCAGCACCAGCTGCCGCGACTGAGGCTAGCTTCCACGGGGTCTCCTGCTTGATGATCGTCATCTGCCTCAGGCCATCGTGGGGATGGCGGCCTTTGCCCGTCTGGCGCGCGATCTCCTAACGCCCTGCGGAACATGTCTCGTAGCCGTGCCAGTTCACGCCGATGCCGATGGGCCAATCTACGATACTCTTCGGGTTCTGTCTCTGGCGCGTGGAGACGTTCGTAGAACTCGTCCCTTCTCGTCGTTGTTTGTCTCCACGCACTCCCGCACTGCTGCTCGATGATCTGCTGCATCGTCTGCCCTGGGAACCAGCGCCTCAATGTGCGGCACAGGGGGTGATTGTTGTCGTCGGTGAGCATCTGCGTGAGCATCGCTACGCACCACTCCTGCCAGCTGTCGCTGTCTCTGGCCAAGCACGTAAGATCGTCGTACCACAATGTTGCCCATTCTCTAAGATCAGCACGCATGTCGGCATAATCTTGTGGCCCCGTATCCTCAACGATCGGCGGTAGCCCCATCGCGCCTGGATTCTGATCCAATACTCCATCGCTGTCGTCCATCCTGCAATCGTCGTCGTGGTTATGCCTGACCAGTACGTTCTGACTCCCCCCACGGTCGGTACTTTCAGCACTCGTGGCCAAAGGGGCTGCGTGCTTCCAGTGCGTGCCGCGGGGGGCAGATTCCGATCCAGCTGCATGACGACGATCTGTACGGTCTAACCCCTCACCGTGCTGGGGTGTAAAGTGGCCTAACCCCTCGCCACGCTGGGATACGCCTCGGTTTGACTCCTCCCCGCGCAGGGGAGCTTCGCTGAAGAAGTGGTCGGTGTCCCTCTGCACCTCGGGGTCGTCGTAATCCTCCACCTCCTGTGACCTCGGCTCAGGCAGGGGCTCGCACTCGCAATCTGTTGGATGCACCGCTGCTGGTCGACTACTTGCCACTGTAGTCTTTCTCGTGATCCGTCTCGGTCGGGGTATAGGGTGCGGTGCTGGAGGGGGCGCATTCCCAACCAAAGGGCCGCTGTACTCGTGCGGCGCTAGCCGCTCTTGGTCAAGCAGCTCACGCACCTGCCTAGCAATTTGTGCCTCTTGTGCAGCTCGCGGTGGTTCTTTCCTGTAGCCAGGGTAGCGTCCGTCCCGAATCTTGTTGAGCGCATCCTGCCCGTACTTGGTGATCGTCTCGCTGCACTGCTCGCGTAGCCTTTTCCCGATGGTCGTTCCATGTGCTGCGCACCGCGCGCAGAATAGCAGTCCGTACCGCACCCATTCGTTGACCACGTGGCTGCCATGTATCTTGCCATTGCCCATGAACCTGTCGCCCTTTACCTCGACTATCTCGTTGGCCGTGCTGTATGTAGCGTTGCATGCCGTGCTGGCAAACTCCTGCAGGGCGTCCGCTGCGATGTACTGCCTGCAGGCTGTGCAAAACCACTTATTCTTGAGCCTGACCATATCGTGCTGCTTCATCTTGTCGACGACTTCCTTTACTCGGTCCCTCTTGGCCTTGGCCTTGGCTGTGGTGGGCCTCTCAGCGCACCAAGGGTCAATGTTCGCCGTGTCCTCCAAGGCCTGCCTCGCTCGTAATCGTACATGAGCACAGATCGCATCCCATTCGTCTGTACGTGGTATTGGCGTGGACACTCTCTCCCAAGAAGCTTCTGCCGCAACCGTAGCAAGTGCGTCTGCAAAACTGTCGCCCATCGCAAAAATCGGGTTGACTAGCTCGACCTCGTCCTCGTCCTGGTGCGACGGGGTCCACTCCACTTCGATGTGTCTGGGGGACGTGTCCATCACCGCCCTCTTGATGCGTGCCCATAAATCCGCGTTCTTCCCTCGCCCAGGGTCTTGAGCTCTGCCTTTTGTCCAAGCTGTGAGGAGCGGGTAGTGGTCCGTGACGTACACGATGTCTCCTCTCGTTTCCTCTATGGCAATCGCGAAGGCCGTGATCTCTGCCCGCGGTACGGTTTGACGCCGTCCTGGTAGGTCTGCCATCGTGCCTGCTGACATACCCCACTTGCCGTCGATCATCTTCATGGTCGCCACTCCGATGCCTACCCGTCTCCTGCGGGGGTCGCCCCCGTAGTAACCGCCTGAGCCATCACCAAATAGATAGAGGCTGCGTCCTGGCACTCGGGCTTCTTCGTGGTCGCCGAACCTGACGTAGTCCTGCCTGTCGATGTCATTGACCTCTGGGTGAATGAGCTCTCTGGGCGGTATACCTCGGAGCCATAGGGTCGGGTTTGCCTCGACGCCAGCGAGCGCCTTTGGCACCAAGTAGTCCGTCTTCTCATAGTTTTCGTGTCCTGTGTTGGCCGTACAGGTGTAGATGCGGTGGAAGATGGTCTCGGGCTCTTGCTTGCACCTCTCGCAGATGTTCGTGTCGCACTCGTAGCCAGCCTGAATCTGTCGTTGCCGAGTCCATTGCCCACCCGTAACCACCACGTTATTGAGTGCCCAATCTTGCCATTCCGCCCGCTGGCTGTATCTTTGTTGCTCCTTACTTATGTGCCATATGTCTCCTCCTCGCTGCAAGTCGTCCCCGTGCAAATGCGTAGCTGCTTGTGCCCACCTCGCCATTTCCAGGTCGTGCTCCAGATCCTCCAGCAGCTGTGTGTACTCAATAGCATCAATGTCGCACTTGCCATCGCCGTCTATGAAGGGGAGCTGCCATTGCTCGTCACCTTGTGGTGTCGGTCGCTTCCATAGTGCCGCCTGTATCGGCTTCCACCCCGCCGCCATTAGAGTAGCCTGCACCGCTGCCACTGGGCCGTGTACCTTGCGCCACAGCTGCGTGCCTGCCCTGATCAGCTTACGGTAGGTCGGTCCCCATGCTTGTCGTACTCGTCGATGAATTTCTGGGTGAAGAAGCCATTGATGTAGCCATTCGCTGACAAGTTGCCGTCGCAGGCTGATGCCTGGGTCCTTCAAGTGATACAGCACAGCCATGCCAGTGGATAAGCACCTTCCTGGTCCTGTGCCAGCCGCCGACTTCATGGCCATACGTCGTAACTGTAATATTCGGCTGGGTGCGATTCCCCAGACCTCGTGCCCATAAGTCTCCTGGGGTGAGACGCCTGTGGTGAAGAGGCCCTTGGTAATCCTTGCCACACGCGTCGCCATCCTTCGCAACCTGAAAATCTTGCCCGCTCGCTGCTTGGCCTTTCGCTGGCGTGCCCGCGCCTTCTTCTGTGTGCGCTTGCCCATGCCACTGACGTCGGTGCCCAAGTCCACCATGTCACTTTGTTGCTTACCAGGGAGTCCTCGCCGTTGTAGTCTGCGCCATATTCGTCTTCGGAGCTTGGGATTGGATGCAACGAGCACCGTCTTGGGCGAGATGATGAGGCTGCGCTTCTCAGCCTGGATGATGAACTCATCGACCAACTCCACCATCTGCTGCTCCACCGTCTCCTCGGTACCTTCGACCCTTCCAACCGTGTCATCCACGTATGTCCATAGCCCCGCTGCCTGGACTCGCTTCTGGGCTGCGTCCAAGAGAGGGAACAGGTACACCTTGGCGAATCTAGTCCCTTGGGCCGAGCCCGCCACGATCGAACATGACGGGTCGATCCTGGGTCCGATCCACTCCGCGTGCTTGAGGTGCCGTGGACCCAGGAACGCTTCGACCTCCATCGCCATAATTGTCGGTGAGAAATCCAGCTCGATCCCCGTGTCTATGAGCCATCCCAAGTCTAACGAATCGTAGAACTGCTCCATATCCGCGAACAACTCCGCATGTGCAATACCCATGGAATGGCCCGTCTCGTCGAGGGTAGCTCGCAGCAAAGCCGCACGTAACGCCGAGGAACCACGCAACGCCGTATCCCAGTGGTCCTCCAACTGCTGCGTCCACGACTCGACCACTCCTGACCGCATCCGTGACCATATACGAATCGTCATAGGTAAAAGCCCTAAGACTCGATCTCCTCCTGCTGGTTTGCCCGCGATCGCGCCGATGGTGCCCAGGACTTGTGGGGGCCACATCAGATGCTCTTCGGCTTGCGCGATGATATACAAAAAACTGTACTTGGCCTGGTCTGGGAGCCTCTCGATGTCCAAGGGGCCTATCGCATCGATTCCTCGTGCCTTCTTGACCCCCATGCGGTGGGTGGCAGCGTTGAGGTCCTGGATCGTGAGCTGCGGGAGGTCCTCTTGGGCCGCCGAGAGACGGCAACGTCGAAGAGCGCCTGCAAGTGCTGTCTGTCTATGCGGGGCAGCCGTCCACTTCTTGGCCCAACTCTCGCTCTTGTGGTTCATGATGAGGATGGGATCGGCCACGATCGTGCCTGAGATCATCTCCTCGAGCCGCGGCTGCTGCGCGCCCTTCGTCCATCTGTGCAGGGCTCCAGGTGTCTTCTTCCACATATCCTGCGCCCACCTGATGAAGCCCTTTGTGCCATCTGCCAGAGCTCTCCGCGCTGCTTGTCCAGCCAATCTCTCGGTGACCTCTATCACGTCCTCTCTCTCCTGCCGTGCTGGGCTGAAGATGTCGTGTGCGCTCTGCTGCCACTGGTTGAGCAGCTCGATATCGCTGTGCTTGCTGACCACATGTACCTGCTGCATCCGCTGTCGAAACTCTTGCCCTCGTTGTTGTAGCTGTTGTGGGTCTTTGTTGTTCTTCACCAGGCCATTGATCGCGATCACCTGCGTGTGCGTGATGGCCCACCACTCAGCCTCTGCATTGTACAGATGCGGTCTGCCTGGCGCTGCTGTGCTCTTTGTCCACTTGATGCCGAAACCCTGCGCCCTTCCTCTATAGCCGTCTCGTTGGTGTTGGGGTACCTCTGAGTGCTGCAAAACTGCCTCCTCCACGGCCTCGATCCACCTGCCGTAGCTGTTCGCCAACTTCTGTGCCAGCAGTGGCCGATCGCGATAGGCCTGAGGCCGCCAACGGCCCCTTCTGAGTTGAATATCTGGTATATTGCCAGAGAAACCCCATTTGGCTTCTTCCCACGTAACGCAACTGATATGGAAGCCGATGGACGGTGAGTCCGCGCTCGGAGTCTGCGCTGTCGGGGATGTGTTCGTAGTCGTTGCGCCTGGCCCGTGCTCGAGGAGATCAAAACCATGTCGAAGTACAGGTTCCAGCTCTTCGCGCCTCTGTTGGCGTCGTGCCTGCTGCTTACTCCGTTTGCTGTCCAGGTCCTTCTGCTTCTTCGGCCTCGGCACCGTGGGCAACGCTTTGGGAATGTCCAGCGTGCGGTGCCACCATCGCTGCTTCTTGCCAGCCAGCCTGATGCGAAGCCCACAATGCGTCGCCCATGGCACCGTCAGTTCTTTGGTAATGGTAAGCCCTTCCTTGCAGCCCGCGGCGACGACGCCGTAGTCGTAGAGAGAGCCCTTGCCTTTGTCGCATGTGACCTCCTCTGGGCCCGTGACGATCTCGCCTCGCATCTGTTCTAACCAACCAGATGCGAGCAGCTCAGTAGGGACGCAGTTCCAATCCGCCAAGACGAGCCATGGGTCCTTCAACAAGCGCACAAAGGCCGTGAGGGCTGCCATGACCTTACGGTTCCTGCCCGTGAAACGCAGGGTCGGTAGTAGGTAGGCCGCGATGATGATGAAATTGCCGATGCTGAGGTGCAGCGCCATGGGGGAGAAACCGACGAAGGCCGTGTCCCCTTGCTTGTCGTGCTTGCCCTTCCAGTGCTCCAGGGACGTGGACTGTATGTGCGCGCGCGTGGCGACGAGTTCACCCGCGGACCATCCTTTCTTCGACTTGCCACTGGGGACCGCGGGGGTAATTGTCGCCTTCCATCCTTCTTTCTGCAGGAACGTCTTCATGGCCGAGACTTGGTTTGGCCCCTTGTGCGTTTCCACAAACGCCAGGCAATCGAACTGCTGCACCGCTGGGCCTTGCACGTAGTTCTGTACCTGTGGGCCCCACTCCGTGATGTTGCCGAACAGGACCTGGAACTCCTCGCTCTGCTGCTGGGTGGAGTGCGCCTCGCTAAAGCCCAGACTGCTCAGTACCATCAGCCAGACCGTCAGCTTGCGCATGAGCTTCGCGAGCCTTACGCCTCTCAGCCCGAGCCTGCTCCAAGGCTGCTTGATTGGCGTCCCTGATCTTCTTCTTCTCGTCCTCAGGGTTGATGGCTGTCGCACCTGTGCCGTTGCTTGCGGTCGCTGGCGATGCTGTGGTGGGTGCCTCCGACGCTGGGGGTTCCTCTTCCACTGCCTCCGCCTTGGGTCCTTCTGTACCCGCTTCGACCTTACGCTTCTTTTTGGGGGCCTGCATTGCCTTCTTTGCCTTCTGGTGGATCTCCTCGATGTACTTGAACTTCGCCTGCAGGGTGCCCAGCTGCTCCTTCTGGAACTGCTCCAGCTCGTTCTTCCACTGCATGATGCTGTCCATCTCCTCGGTCGGTATGTCGCACTCCTCGAGACCCTCGAAGAGTGAGCCGTCGTACTCGAACTTGACGTTGAGGGTCTTCTCATCGGGTTTGACCACGATGATGCCCGACTCCTGGTTGGCCTGCTGGAGTGCTGTGAGATGCCGCTGCTGCACCTCGACCCTCTGCTGGGCCAACTTGTCCATCTTCTCGAGCTGGTCGTCCAGGTACAGCTGCGCGCCCGTGAGCTTCGTCCGCTGCTTCTCAATGCGAATGTCCAGCTCCTTGAGCGCGCGATTGGCGTCCGCCAGCAGCTGGGCGCCCGTACGCTGCTTGGGTGGGGCTGGCGCAGGCTTGGCGTTGGCCTCCTCTTCTTGGGCTTTGCGACGCAACAAGTCCAAGGCGGCCGTGATGGTGGGGTCGCCCTTCTCGCCGACGCCCTGGTACGCCGCCAAACTCGTGATGAGGGAGGCCGTGGAGATCGGGTCGGACTGTCCGCCATCGCCCTTCTGCGCCTCCACGGAGTCCCAGCCAGCCTTGGTGCTTGCGTACGTGGAGTGCCGCCAAGGTGCCCACTTCTTCCACAGTCGTCCCGAGCGTGGCCAACCCGCAGAATGAGGTCCATTCTGTGCCCAAACTCCAGACGGTGGTGGTGGGACGCCGACGGCGGGGCGGAGCTTCGCCTTGCACTTGAAGCACTCGACTTTGCTGCTCCAGTTCCACTTGTAGCCGCACGCTTTGCACCCGATATACCCCGCTGCGTTGCCAACATCTCCCATGCCGCGGGTCGCTGTGCACCAGGAGTGCTCACCTGCGGGCTGCAGGCGGCACGCAGAGTCCTGGGGCGGACCAGGCTCTGCGAAACAGACAGGGTATGCCGCGGACTAGCGGTATCCAGTTTCGCCGATGCGGGCTCCGCCCGCAGAAGCATCAGCCTTGAGCCAAAATGGCTACGGAGGAGGAGGAGGAGGAGGAGGAGGAGGAGGAGGAGGACAGCCTGCGCGCCAGTGTCGGCGCCACCGGGCCCGCTTCGGTCCGTGGCCCACGCGTGTTTGCTCGGTGTGCCCCGACGCCGCTCGTCGCTGGGACGCTGGGAGGCGCCGTGGGGCCTCGTGAGCGTTCTTTTGCATTCGGCGTCTCGACGTTGGGCGGGAAGGGGGGGGGGGAGGGAAGGGGGGGGGGGTCTGGCTCCAGACCCCTGGGGGGGGGGGGGTCTGGCTCCAGACCTCTGCTTCGAGCGATGCCTCTGGGGGAGACCCCACCCGCTCGAGGCAGGCGCCAATAAAAACAGCCAAGATCTACCCAGACCTTTGCTTCATGCGATGCCTCTGGGGGAGACTCCACCCGCTCGAGACAGGCGCCAACAGAAACAGCCAAGATCTACTCCAGTGGGGGGGGGAGGGGGGAGGTGCGAGGGCCTGCGCCGATCGACAAAACCATGCATAGCACAAAAAACACTTTCTGTTCGTCGCCCATGTGTTTTTTCGCTGGGGCCTGGTCCCGGGGCTTTGCCCTCTCTTGGCCTTGACGTGAGGCCCCGCCTCCCTTTTTTCCTTCCTCTGTTAATTGAAGCTGTGCGCGGCCCGCTTAGCTTCGACCGGAAGAGGCTCGCCCTCGACCCGCGGATCAAACAAGTGTTTTTTCGCTGGGAGTGGAGGGCAAAATATGGCGTTCGGGTTGGGTTCGGGGTGGCTTGGTGGGTGGTGAGCTCCGGGTCTGTGCTTGGGTCTGGCATGTCCCCCCACAGGGCGGATTTCGGGCGAGAGGTCAGAAACAATCAAAGCATGCTCAAACGGCGAATGGCCGACGCGGACGCCTTGTCCGCGTTGGCCACTTGCCGTGCGGATCAGAAATCCCGCCAGGGTAGTACCACAGCGTCGACCATAGAACATCAGGTTCCGAACCCTGCCCCACTGCCCCGTAGAGTTTCGGCGAAAGGTTTCTGGCGGCAGCGTTGGAACGCGAGGGCTCATGCGCGTGTGAGTTTCTGAGAGCGTGGATTTGAGCTCGCTCAAGCTTCGCTCTGCAAGGGGGTGGGGGCATTCCCGACGCGTTCAGTGCTCGGTGGCGGGGGGGGGCCACAGGCGCCCAAGAAGTCCCCAGGAGGCCCCAGAAGGCCCCCAAGAGGCCCGAAAGAGGCCCCACGAGGACCGAAAACGGCCCTCAATAAGCTTCCCCAAATCCCTTGCTCAATCCCCTGAGCCTCAATCCTCAAGCCTTTGGACGCCCGAAATGGGTACGGGAAAAATGGGCACAATACGCAACAACAAATGTTGCCCCAAACCAGCAGCGGCCGCTGTCGGGCAGGCGGCCCTCTGTCTCAAACAGACACAGCCGCGGCGGCGCGGACAGCGAGTCCTGCTCAAAATGAACAGGAACCGCTGTTGGGCATTGTACCCCTTCCTTCCGGTAAGCCTGAGGATTCTTAATTCGGGGATGGACAGACCCCCCTTTAGTAAAACGTGGTTTAGTGAAAACGACCTGAGGCCCAAACCTGGCGGGCGCAAGCCTGGACAAATAACGGCCACGGCGCCCTCTCGAGAGCCGAAAACGGACAATTCACTAATCGACGTGCCACTGTTGGGGGTTCTGTCCACCCCCGATCAATGGGCGCGGACCCCAAGCTCTCAAATCTCTCGAGGCTCCCCGCGCGCCCAGGTGGGGCCCCCAGCCTGTTGCCGCAGGACTTTTTTTCCCCGAGCCCACGAGGAGGACCAAGACGGGCCAACAGGGCCCCAAGAGGCCCTCAAGACGGCCCAAGTGAGCCTCGAATCACAGGAAGATCGGTCCAAGACGCCCACGATGGCCCCAGGTCTATTACCATGAGAAACATCATCAGCAGCAATCGTCATCATAATTACCACCACCATCATCATCATCATCATCATCATCATCATCATCATCATCATCATCATCATCATCATCATCATCATCACAGTCATCATAATCATAAGCATCATCAACATCATCAACATCAACATCTACATCATCATCCTCATGTTGATCATCATCATGATCCGGAGCGCCCCGGATCGGCGGCACTAGCCGGAAGTCAGCACTATATATATATATATATACAAATATACACATGCTAGTGCGAATGTGTTTATGCTCACACAGACGTATGAGTATTTAGATGCACATGTATATGTGCATGTAAATATCGATATATACACGTGCATGCAAGCTTGGCAAGCGTCCCGCCCTTGAGAGAGGATGGGATGGTAACTCATCGCGGCCCTGGGCCCCATATTCCGCTGCAACTCCGCATGTGACACCTGTGGTTGGTACGAGGCGCCCTCCCATTCACAATCGCCCTCTTCATCGCCGCTGTCAGGAAGGGGGGCCCGGGACGGCTCAAGAAAGCCCCAAGACGGCCCAAGACGCGATGCCCCCAAGACGGCTCAGCGGAGCTCTCCGACGAGGAAGGCGCCTTGCCACTCCGAGCTCTCCCCGCCCGCAAGGGATCCCCCCAAGGCCGCCAGCAGGCTCCCGAAGGGACCCCAAGAGAGGCCA